TTACTTAGCATGATATTCTCCAACTCATCCCTTTACCTGCAAATGCCATCATTTTATTCTCTTTTAATGCTGAACAATATCCCTTTGTGTATATATGCCACAGTTTCTTTATCCATTCATCTATTGAAGGGCATCTAGGTTGGTTCCACAGTTTAGCTTTCCTTAAAAGAAATCAGTAATCAGGGTTTGGTGTTTCTGGCCTATAATCCAAGCTATTGGGAAGGCTGAGACAGGAGGATCACAAGATCATAAGCCTGGACAACTTCATGAGACCCTGTCTCAAAAAATTAAAAAACAAACAAACAAACATTGAAATAGGGCTAGGGATGTAGGTCAGTGGTAGACAATCCCTGGTACTGCAAAAAAAAAAATCATTAGTACATTAGTACTTTTGTCCCCTCCTCTTTCCATGACAGTACAAGGTAAAGAAGTTGGTGAAACAGTTCTGTCAGTCAACCATCCTTGGATGAAGCCCAGTACTGAACCACCCTCAGGAACATGTAGCGGATCTTCTCACATCCAGCAATTTTCCCACTACTTCCTTGTCATTCCTGGGACTTGGGAATCCTTCTATCCCACCTAAGCCACGATGGGCCCAGGGACCTTCACAAGGCCATTTGGGGCCCCTGTCCATCATCACTATCTGACCATTTCCTCTCCCAGGTCTTATTCCCAAGGTTGAGATCCAGCATGTGACATCTGTGTTCCCGTCATTTCCTGTGATCCCATTGTTTTCTCTGAAGTGGCATCTGGCACCCTCTTCCATGGACACAGGCCCACGGAGGCAGCAACGGTGGGTCCTGTAGGCTTCTTTCCCCCTCATTCTCTGACTAGTACTAATGGGAGAAAGGGAGCAGAGAAACACCAGGAGAAAAAGGTAGATTTGTCTATTTATCATGACATCACTGTCATCATTGTTGTCATGTCATCTCTCTCCAAGGCAGCAAGTTTTCACCTGCACAGGCAGAGCAGGGCCCCGACACCCCCGTCACACGCTGGCTGAGAGGTATGAATCTTTCAGTAAATAAACGCTCAAAGAATATTTTTACTGAGCCCCTGTTGTGAAGGCAGTCATGTGCTCACAGCTAGGGGGCGTGAGGAGCTCACAGATGAGACCAGCTCAGGGAAGGCTGGTGGGTTCGAAGAGTGGAGAATACAGAGCTGGGAATCTGTCTCCTTCGGGGTCCTGGCTCTGTCACCAGCAATAGGCTGGCCGTGAAGAATCTCCCTGAGCTGGGCTTGGTGATGCACGCCTGTAATCCCAGTGGCTCAGGAGGCTGAGACAGAAGGATCGTGAGTTCAAAGCCAGCCTCAGCAACTTCTGTGATGTCCCAAGCAACTTGGAGGGACCCTGTCTCTAAATAAAATATAAAAAGTGCTGGGGATGTGGCTCAGTGGTTAGGCATCTTGGATGCAACCCCCGGTACTGAAGGAAAAAAAACAACAAGAAGAAGATCTCTGAGCCTCAGTTTCTATCAATACGGGGGAAACAATGACACCTATCCTTCCTATTTTGTAATGAAGTGGTCTCTTTCTTTCTTTTTTTCTCTTTGAAAGGACACTAAAGTTTATTTAAGTCCAAAGTCAATAGAGATCTTTTATTGCATCACTGAAATATCAGATTAACTCCAGGACTCTTTCTGTGGCTGGAACACTCCTAGATCTTATTCATCAGCCCGCTGAACTGTTCCTTTTTCAGAATCATAAATGCCATCCAAAATTTTTCCGATATTCTTGTTTTTCACTATAGGGGCTTGCTGACTTAAAAACGGCTGAATTTGAAACAAGTTCAACATCATTTCAAAACTTCAATGATTAATTCATCTTTCTGAGCTTGAGACACTGAACAAGCAACACCTGTCCTCATCCAAACCCTGCAAATGTATTTTTCATCCAAGAAATTTCAGATTTCAACAAAGAGACCCATTCTCCTGAATAACGACGTTAATGGGGATGTATGTGTACACATTCCTCATCTTTTAATGGAAGCCCAGCGTAACACCCTGATCATGTTCTCTACATGACCACAGATCACCCGAACAGTGGCCAGTTCCCTTCTATTTCCCCACCATTTGTCAACCCGTAGCCTCTTCCTTTTCTTTCCAAGGAGGCTGAGTTCTACATGGATATGACTGAAATCCCTCCAGAGGGCTCCTCTTGGGCCCTTCACAATAACTGTGCGTCCCTTCAGAGTAATATCAGGAATGTGGACATTTTCTGGAATGTCGAGAGTGTGACTGCTGAGAACGGTGTTCATTCTCACAGTAGATGCAGCAAAGAGAATGCAGGGGTCTCCTTCTACTTCAGAAATGGAAAGGACTCTGCACATATAGGGGTCATTATATTTAGTACGGGGAACAATCGAGTTTGGGTGGAGGGACTCTGATTGGGTGGGAAGGACCTTGAGTAGATAGACCTACCCAGGCAAAGCAGACCTCTGGTGATGAATTTCAGGAACAGGAGACCAGGTGGGCAGAGTTGAGGGAAGGAGTAGCTAAGGGGGTGCTGGGCTGGGTTTGAAGGGTTGCCCAAGCCCTTCCATGAGTTAGGTCTTGTTGGAGTAGACAGTGGGTGTTTAGCTTTTGCAGGTGTCTGACCTAAAGGATGTGTAGAGATGGCAAAAGTGATTCACAGCCTCCTAAGTTGGCTTTAATTGGTAACATTAGGCCTTTTCCTACTCCAATCAAATGGGATCACTCCCCTAGCTCTAAAGCTGTCCTTGACTTCTTGGAGACATGCTTCCTCCTCTGGACACTATGGTGTCCTCTGGCTGGACTGTAACTCTTTGGCAGCAGTTGTACCACACAGTCCTTCCTGGAAACATCCATGGTTCCAGCTTGAACTTGCTGATTCCCTCAGCCCACAGAGGTCTTTTCCTCCTGTGGCTTCTGGGTTGTGTGCCCCACTGATGGGGCTCTGTTCATGGAAGGCAGTGGTTCTCAGCCCTAGCTGCTTATTGGAATGACCCGAAAATTGGTTTTTAAAGTGTTTCCATGCCCACGTTGTATTTTAGATCAACAGCATTATCAGCTCTGGGGAAGGACCCTGGCATTGGGATGATTTCTAAAAATCCCAGGTAACTTCCATGTGTACAGTGGGTTTTGAGACTTCACAGCCAAGCACTGACAATTAGGCATTCTGCCTTGTGATCACTCCTTCCAGGTATGCACCGTGCACACCTGGGATACATCAGGGAACAGGAAGAAAGCAGTAGGATTTCAGTTTATATTTATTTTAAATCCTATTCTTTTTCAAAGTGCAAGCTTTACAGTCACTAACTGTCCTGGAACAGTAGTTATGATAACAACTGTGGGCAGCCCTTGAGCATTTACTGTGGCTGGGCTCTCATCTAAGCACTTTATGCTAAGAACTTAGCACTTTGCAAAAGCCAGATGAGGTGGGTACTGTTGTTAACTCCACTTTATAGATGAAGGAACTGAGCCCAGAAAGATTGATTACCTGGCCAAGATCACACCACACCACTTAGCAGCCAAGCCAAGCCAGATTCAAATGCAAGTGGATTCCAGTACTCATCTTTTACCCACAATGCCAGTCTGCTTAAATAAATCATATGCAAACAGAACACAGATACTGGGGAGATCTGCACAGAATTTTTTATTAATAAGGTTTCCTAGGGCTGGGGATGTGGCTCAAGCGGTAGCACACTCGCCTGGCATGCGTTTCGGCCCAGGTTCGAGCCTCAGCACCACATACAAACAAAGATGTTGTGTCTGCCGAAAACTAAAAAATAAATATTAAAATTCTCTCTCTCTCTCTCTCTAAAAAAAAAAAAAAAAAAAAGGTTTCCTAATCAAATAACTAAACTACAGATGGCAGACTGTGAGTCCTTGAGGCAAGCTTTAAAATCTCACTCTTTGTTCCGTCCACCCAGAGGCTAGCAGGCATGTGGGGTCCAATATATGATCAATAAATATGTGCACACTCCTGGAAATATCAGCTGACTGATAATCATGACTAACATTTATTATCAACTCTTGCCACATGCCAGGGACATCATACTTAATCTTCACAACAATCCTGTGAGGCTACAATTATATTCAATTTGCAAATTAGACACAGAGCAGCTAAGTAACTTGTCAGAGTCCAAAACTTGAATCCAGATTGTGGCATTTCACAGCTCACTGGGACCCACTGTGAACAGGTCCACAGGGTACGGTTCATGCAGGTGGCTGGGTTCAGAAACATCAGGATGGAGGCAGAAATAGACTATTTACTCCTTCCAGGTGGTTCTTTGGCCAGGCAGGCCCTTCTCTGTATGCTTAACAGGCAAACTCCTACCTGCCCTCAAATTCAGCTATGGTGGCCGGCTGTGGTGACCTCCGGGAAGCCTGCTGCAGTTAGTGGCACTGCCTGGCTGTCCATGCCTTCTCTTTTAGGCGCTCCCTAAAGGCAGGGCTGGGGCTTCCTCCAGGGAATCCACCGAGCAGGCTTGGCAAACCTGTGGGTGGGCTCGGCCAGTGTCCCCTTCCACCGCGGTTAGGGACATCCCATTCCCTGGGCTTTTCCTCTGTGGGCGCCATTCCCCTTTTCTCCTCTTCTTCGCCCACCTCCTTCCTCTTCTTCCTCCCAAGTGTCCTTTCCTCAACCTCCCTTCCTCCTCCTCCCTCTGCGCCCAGGGTGGCCCGCCCCCGGCCCGGCTCGGGGC